TATTGATATTATATTTATTGAAAAAGTAGAGTACTATCAGCAGCAGTTACTGAAATCTTTACTCCGAAATTCATTTGTCCGACTGAAAAAATGAATTTGTGAAGAGAGAATATTTTGAACATATTCATACCAAGACTATTTTTCACAAAGTGATGAAGGAACGTTATCTATTCATTCACGGAACTATTTACAGAGAAGTCTAATGTTTGGTAAGCGGTATTATATAATAAATTGTCTCATTTAATAATTGTCGATTCTGGTCTAGTATCTCCGTGGCATTAAGGCCAATTAAGTGTGGATATGAAACTCGACTTTATCGTCTAATGTCACATAATCTCTATAGATCCACGTGAATTAAATATGTACAGTGAGCACTTTATGCCCATGCCCTGTAGCCCTTTTTCTTGCTTTACTATATATGACCTGTGACTTCATACCAACCAACCAAAATATGTAGACCCATGCCTTCGTATAATCTTCTATCCATTATTATTCTCTCTCTCTTTTTTTTTGGGAAATGTTTGGGGTTTGGGGGGTTAATTTGCACATAATAGGGTTCACATGCAAACATTGCAAGCAAGAAAAGAATAGTCAAATGTTCAGTACAAGGTACCTAGTTTCTCCAAGTTCTGTTTGGCATTGTCAGAATTGGAGTCATTTTAAGCGTTATGAACTGAATAGCACAATCGTCAAGATTTTTAGATTCTTTATCTTCTTTTATAGTATTTATACTATCCAATACCGTGTAGTTCACCCTACCAAAGAAACTGCATGTGTACAGATATAAGTGAACAAGAAATAAAATGCTGGTATAAGGTCAAATTCATAGCCAGCAAATATTATGCAGGGTAGATTGGTTTGGTTGATTAGGTTAACAGGCCTGAACTGGTCACTTGTCCCTATTATTGAAAATATGATTAATGGACTTTGACGAAGTAGTAATCATCATAAACAACAATAATCGTGTGGCTTAAGCAAGTAAGCCTACGTGGTATTAGTAGTCGGTTAAACAAAATTTGAGTTCTCAGTACTGCTTAAATGGATTTTGGTTAGGCTGCGGGATGAAGCTAGCTAGTCATGGATATACGCCGGTCGTGAGAATTAAAACTAGTTAATTTTTAGCACTGATTAAATGGATTTTGGTTAGGCTGCGGAACAAGGCTGGCTAGTCATGGATATGCCGTGTTTGGTATGGATTATGAAGGCCATGGGCGGTCGATGGGTGCTCGTTGTTACATCAAAAGATTTGACAACATTGTCAATGACTGCAGTGACCATTTCAAGTCAATTTGTGGTAAGTTACCAAACTCTCCAACTCTGCCGTTGTTCTGATTTTTCAGCACAGCCTTAAACTTTCTAGAGGAATCATTTATATTTAACAATAGTTTACAAGACCATACTTTCTAGAGAGATCATCTGTATTTAACAATGATTTACCAATCCATTGTCCTAATCTAAGATGCTAATTGCTGGACACTGGGGACGGATAATTATTCATTCTTTAATAATGTTTGATTGTTTTATATAATAAATTGATTCTCTCATGTCATTTTGATCTTATTCGAAATGGGACCTACCTGCTTTTTTTATTCAATTGTTCAAGAAATCAACATAGTGAAGAATTTAGTTTGATCTCTTCGATCGCGTTCTTATGCTCAAGCTACCAATGATATTGCACTACAACTCCATTATTTTTTATTATTTTGACTAAAAAGAACTGTTGGCCTGAAGAAATTGCTCCATGCACACTTGCAATACTTGTTGAGTTATACTTAACAATGCAGTTGGTTATAGCTTTACTCAAAAGGATTTACTTTCATGGATTCAGGGCAGGAAGAATACAGGGGAAAAAGAAGATTTTTATATGGGGAGTCAATGGGAGGAGCAGTGTCTCTGTTGATACACAAAAAAGACCCTGCTTTCTGGCATGGCGCTGTTCTAGTTGCTCCAATGTGTAAGGTTGTAGGAATGTAATTGAATGTTCTTTATTTGATTATAGAGTTGGGTGGACGATTTCGTGTTAGACACGAAGAACACGTTTACACTGTTAGATAGATAGGACTGGGCACTATAATAAACCTGATTTAAGTTCTTTTACTTCTTTAATATCGTCGTGGCACTATTAATCCTCTCTACCAAATATGCTAGAAAAGGTATCCAATTGTCAGAGCTGTAAAAGCTTACCATATTATACTTCAGTGAAGTTTTTGTGTCCCCCACAAGTACTTGAGAAAGAGGTTTCATTTGACATGGGGGAGGAGCAAAAAAATTGGACTATAACTATTCTAATTTATCTTTTTCATGCTATTAGATCTCTGAGAAGGTGAAGCCACACCCCTTAGTTATAAGTCTTCTAACTCGGGTGGAAGACGTAATACCAAAATGGAAGATAGTTCCTACAAAGGATGTTATTGATTCGGCCTTCAAGGATCCGATTAAACGAGAAGAGGTGAGCCTATCATTACGTTGGAGAATTTGAAGCGAATTTCGTAAATGGCCTTATTTGTGTGTCTGTAATTATTCTGCAGATACGTAACAACAAGTTGATATACCAAGAAAAGCCGAGGTTAAAAACAGCTCTTGAAATGCTCAGAACTAGCATGAATCTTGAAGACAGTTTGCAAGAGGTTATCACTGTTCATATTATAAGTACACATTTTTAAGCTTAGCCAAACATGAAGCAAAATCTTTCCTACAGCTTAGAAAAGATAGTGATGTAAATGATCGAAAGTTTCAAATGTCTTGATGGAAGTAATTTAACAGATGATGGTCGATTGAGTTCTCATATTTAACTCATTCTTATCATACCGTTGTTGGGTGTGGCTTTCCGACAGGTGACACTACCATTCTTCGTGTTGCACGGTGAAGCAGATACAGTGACGGACCCTGAGGTGAGCAGGGCATTGTACGAGAGGGCGAGCAGCACAGACAAGACCATAAAACTATATTCCGGGATGTGGCATGGTTTGACATCCGGAGAGCCAGATCACAACATCGAGATTGTCTTCGCCGACATTGTATTATGGCTCGACAAGCGTTCCTCTTGTGAAGACAATACTCACGACATGAAATCAATTCACCAATCTATCCTGGTTCCTGAGAAATTAAACGTCATGGCGTCGCCAGTGACATTAAACGGGAAAAAGCAGCATAAAACACGGTCGCACATGAAATATATATGTGGCTGGAAGGGCCGTGGTACGTGCCATAATTCTGCGATGTAGTCCGCAGAGAAATAATCGGAAAATCCCTTATCATGGTAATTACTTTTTCTTATTTCCAATGTTCTTCGGCAACTTATTTCATTTACTCTCCAAAAGCGGAAATGAGATAAATCTGCTATTGAATATACCTATTGGATCACTGAAATCTCTGTCTAAACAACCTGAATACCATACTATGTGCTGTATTAATGTTGATTATTTTGAATTTTGTCCTCTGTGTTTGTCTGTCCTTTATTAGGAAGTCACCTTTCGAGTCGTCTTTTTCTTCACCTACTCGAATGCTCTGTCGCCATATTTTGCACTGAAACCCCTTCGTTTCACACCGGTATCCGGTGCTTCCACTCCTAGTGTCGTTTATCTGCGGTGGTTACTTTGTTTTCCGGCCACCAGAGCTCAAATCTGCTCTCTATTTTGCACATTGCTGCACTTTCAGTTAAAGTGCATGTATAAGAGCACGTTGGAAAATAATACGAGGAGTTGTGTACTTTTATAAAATAATCTGTTCGGTTTAATTCTTGTAGAAAAAAAAGAATAGGGCCAAATCAATGCAAAGAAACCTTCCTCGACTATTATGATTCGCTAAATGGTAGTTATATTGTCGCCATAGTTTTTTTCGTTCTACCACTTTTTAGTTGTACTAAAGATTCCTAAAATTTGCTCATTGTTTCTCTTACGTTCTTAATTTTCTATTAATTAATACATTTTGTCATTGACGACNAATTTGCTCATTGTTGCTCTTACGTTTTCAATTTTCTATTAATTAATACATTTTGTCATTGACGAAAATTTCACCTAAAAAATTCATCAATGGAGAATAAAAAGGAATATTTGTCTTTCATAATTTCAAATAGGTAAAAGAATAGCAAATATAAAAGTGTAACAAAATATTTAGACATGGACCAGATATACTATCTAATAAAAGATGGAATAACGTTTATGGGAAAATGAGTTTTGGAATAACGTTTTTTTTTTTAAATGTGTGGTTAAAAAGTAAAAAAATATTTTATTTTGTGAATGTGCGGTTGAAAATGAGTTATTAAAATAAAAAATGACTTAATGGATGTCAAAATGTAATTAAAAAAAATTAAAGACGCAAGTGTTATAATAGAAAATAAATAATTAGAGTTCTTCAGTGAAATCAAAAAGTGGTGGTATAACATAAAACTATGCCTTGTGTGGAGAGATTTTTGAAAATATTTTTCCCAACGCTTATTTGAGATACACCCGATCAGTTAACAAAATCTTAGAACAGCTGTTTGCTACTAAACTATTATAGAAATTGAAAGTCAACATTCAAGCATTAAGAAGGGTATTTTAATGAATTTTAAAAGTCTTTGTAAACTCAAGTAATCCTCAATTATGATTTTAGGTGTCCCTCGTGAATTTGAAAGAATTTCAAGTGGTTTGGATGACTTTTAAGCTTAAAAATATGCATATCAAACTCTCTTGAAATTTTATTATTTTTAATGAAATTCTTATGTATATAACCCATAGACCTAAGCCTATTTCTATAGAAAGAATTCACTTATATTTTTGGGTACCAATACATGTCACCAGCATAGTAAACGCTAGTCCATTGAAAATTTGTGAAAAGACTACCAAAACATTATATGGCCAACGGCACTCAAAATAAAATCAGACAAACACTAAGAAAACATCAAAAAACTGAACGAGAATGTAAGGTGCCGCTCTTATGATTTTACCCTGCACCTGCTATCCTTGTTGGAATGCTGGGATTCAACAATCTTCATAGGTAACAAAGATATAAAATCCTAATTATGCCGAGGCAGCATTTTCCTTGTGATCACCGAAGATTCGTTGCCGGAAGTCGGAAACCATCATCGGAAGACCCTTCCGTAGAGGTACTTTTGGTTCCCAACCGAGAAACTCCTTGGCCTTCGAGATGTCTGGCTTCCTCTTGTGAGGATCATCCTCCGTGTTGGGCCTGAATTCTATCTTTGCATTCGCATCAATGGTTTCCTGAACCACCTGTGTTTCAACAGAATAACGGGATTGTTCAAAATGATCTTGGGAGACATGATTCAAGAAAGAGATGTAGTGTCTAGTCCAGTGTACCCAACAACATATAATGGGAAAAGATCTTGAAGTCTCCTACGAGAAAAACTTGACCATTTGTGACATAATAAAAGATAAAACCTCAATTTTTCATACTTGCTTCATCCACTATTCAGGGCTATGTTAACCTTTTAAATTCAATCTTTATGAGTTAAAACTACTCGATCAAGATGTCTAAATGATAGTTTCCTGAAAAACTTTTTGCAGAAGAGTAGAGTGCCAAGTACGTGAAAAGCTGGCATGTAAGAATTCCACACAACATCAGGAAATAGAAGCATGACATACCTGTGCAAGTTCAAGCATAGTGAATTCACCAGGGTTTCCAAGATTGAAAGGTCCTACATGTTCTCCTTCCATCAACCGCATCAGGCCCTCAACCTTCCCAATCAAACACAAATTACAAGTAACTACTACAAGCCGTTTTATGTATTATAATTTACGAGCATTGTCAACAAGTGTAATCAGCAAATATAGCAAAATTCTGTGAGTGTAAAGTCCTCGATCAGAACAATAATCATGGTCTTCTACTACTTATTGCTTAGAGCTGCGAAATATATCGGGGCCAAGGGCGACTACCGCCGAACAAGATAGTTTTCTTCAATTTTGTAGTTAATTTTCTTATAATTACTAAGAAAAAACCTGTGTGTTCTTCCTTTACATCCCTATTTACACAACTTATTATAAGTCCAAGAACTTGAACACAATAATATCACCACCCTCTCTTAATTTTAATAAATTCAAATCTAATTCACAATGCAGTTGCATATTATAAGGAATTAAGAGGTTGATTAAGGCATAAATATGTTGAACATAGAAAGTAGGAAAAAGAAAAGAAAAATAGTGATTAAATAATCACATTTGAAACTTCTTACCAAATCAGAGACATATTGAAAACTTCTTGTCTGCTTCCCATCACCATAAACTGTCAGTGGTTCCTTTCTCAAAGCCTAGAAACAAAAAATTAAGTCTTATTCTCTATAAATTTAACATCAACTAAACTCTGTAATATAATCTTGAACTTCCTGGTTACTGTACAAGTCTAATTCTAGGAAATTAGAGTAGAAAAACGACTAAATAAATATAATTATCTGAAATATATTACCTGGGCAACAAAGTTACTAACAACACGGCCATCATCAATGCACATACGCGGTCCATAGGTGTTAAAGATCCTAGCAATTCTCACCTGCGACAATATCATTTTAAAACACGTCACCAAAAATAATGCAATTAATACTGTGATTGTAGTGGAATTTTACCAGATATCAGAAATAGAAGAGAGTTGCTTTTTGCAAGCATGAATCCCATTGTTTTTAACAAAATTTCGTACAAACAGGGCAAGTTTTCAAGATTATCTCTATAAATCGGAAGTGGACTTCATACAAAAAGTTTGCAGAACATTTGTAAGGAGATAATAGCTAAATTGAGGTGGTATTAGAATTTTGAATCAGTCCAATTTTTGTTCGATCCTCTGCCATAATAATATATCATGCTATCGGGGTAACATTATTTTTATCAATTGGAATAATTTATGCTTGTGGCTTGGTTGGACTAAAATGAAGCATTCAGGGCTCAGGCTTTGTTCAGAAATGAGTGGATGATTATTGATTAGGTAGACTAAGATACAAAGGATTAGTAGTAAATATTTGGCATACAAATCTTCGGACAAGAACAAAATTTTAACCTTTTTTTTGTTCCTTTTATTAATGTTCAATGTACACTGCTAAACGCAATATTTAAGCAAGAAAAATATTTGGCCCATGTTTAATGGGGATTAAAATCAGATTTTTACTTAATTTTTATTAAAATTAATGAAATATGTTATTAAAATTAATTATTGACTTTAATTTAGATTAATCTGAATTTTAATTTTCACCCAAGGGCGCACTATAACAAAATAGTACTCGATAAATAATACAAACAATGTCTCATAATAAGTTTTTGGGTCTTGCTATGGGTACCTTTTGACCCGATCCCATGTGAGGGAAGGGGTGGGTCCGAGTAACCCAAAGGCTAAGCCAAAAGGTACAAATGGCTTAATCCTAAGTGTTTTTTTAAAAAAACTGACCTGAACGCCAGCACCTCTGTGGTAGTCCATAGTCAACGTTTCAGCAGTTCGTTTCCCCTCATCGTAGCAGCTTCGAACACCTGTTACCGACCAACAACGTTTTCTTGTCAGTAACGTACAAAAACTCCAACTAATATTGTCAGATCTCAGTTTCAAGTCTTATTTACGTTACGTGGTCCAATTTTCCGTAATGACAACTTTGCCCTCCAGCTAACCTACTTTCTTCAATTCTGGCGTACTGCTTATTTATAGGTAATCAAATACCAATTAAAATACGTCAACTCATACCAAATGCCTTGACTTATAGACCCAGAATTAGAAATTGACTTGTCAAATTAGGGGAAAATATCTGTCACCATTACCCAAACTGAAAGAGGGCCAACAAATTCAGTTAATTTGACATGTTTAAATTGAAACAGAATAAAAGTTGGGTAATTATAATTGAAATATATTAAAGTTAGGTGACCAACGCGACAAGACCTGTAAGTTGGGTGATATCAGTCAAAACTTTTTGGATCTGGAATTGAAAAGGTGATTGAACTTCGACCCATCATCGAAAAACGCGTGGCGCGACGCTTTCAATTGAAAATTTATAACCGATGAACGTACGACTCGGTTCGTGACAAACCCGTAGGGCTCACGTTAGGCACAAGCTACAAAGCAAGGCTAACATGATCCGCATTCCGCGCTGACCGGCATTCTCCGGTGAATTCACTATTCCGGCGGTATGAACCTATACAAATATGCTTGTATAAAAGGGAAAAACTGAGGCAATTAATAAGATTACTCACCAATGGGATTGACGTTGCCCCAGTAAGTTTCGACTTGTGGGTGTTGCAGTGGATCGCCGTACACTTCACTGGTGCTCGTTAGCAAGAACCGCGCACCCACTCTCTTTGCCAAACCCAGCATGTTCAATGTCCCTACCACATTTGTCTTGTAAAGAACATGAAATCAAGGATAAACTGATGATTAAACGCCACAATTTTACGTGAAATTATAAAGAAAAATTGAGGTAAATTTGGGAAATTAATAATCGGAGTGAAGGATATGATAGTCTTGACAGGGTTGTGTTTGTAATGAACAGGAGAAGCAGGGCAAGCGAGGTGATAGATCTGATCGACCTCCAATAGAAGTGGCTCAACGACGTCGTGTCGAATGAGTTCGAACCTAGGGTTTCCAAAATGGTGCATGACATTCTCTTTCCTTCCGGTGAAGAAATTATCAACCACGATCACGCTGTCGCCTCTGCTAATCAGACGGTCAACCAAATGACTTCCAACAAACCCGGCCCCACCGGTCACCACGATTCTCAAACCCTTCCTTTTCAGGCCTAGAGGTATTTTTCCCCCTGAATTGACGGACGACCCGATTCCGAACCCGGTGGCGTGGCCATTCTGGTAGATGAGTCTGTGAGGGTGAGTCAACTCGGAGGAGAAAACTGAGTTGGAGACGGAAGCCGGGGTGTGGGAGGATGGCAGGAAGCCGAAGACGAGGGTGGCTATAGCAATACCAACGAAAACAAATACGAGTCGCTGCTCGCGGAGCATGTACCGAACCGGACGAATCACACTCAGCCATGGCTTCGGCGGCTTCGGTGAGTACGCCTCCGTCACCGTCGGTGACTCGTGCCCTCTGAATATCAACTCCGAACCCATATGTGTGTATGATTATAATCTGTATCTATAAATGTGTACACTGATTCGAGAGATCGGATGAGAAGAAATGCCGCAATTGAAGAGATTATAAACTGAGGAATTTCGCCGGAAATTTCAGGAATTTCATTTACCGGCGCGTTGGGGGTGATGTCCGATCGACTGAAGGTGTTGAGGGAGTTTATATAGGTCCTTGGAATTGGATGATATTACGTAATTGCCCTCTGATTGTTTCGAAAGTAAGCGGTTGCTGCCTATATTAATTAGGTATTTAGTTGTGGGTATTAATAAAGTGGTCATTTAGCCATTATAGGTAAAAAAAAAAAAAAGCATTGTTTAACACGGACTAATTGTTTTACATCGTATTTGCCTGTTTGGTCATATGAATTTGATAGTACCATACAATATTAAAAAAAATAAAAATAAAAATTATCGTGTTTTAGTAGGTTGCACTAGACAGGGCTAAATCTATTACGTGTATAAAGTTCTCATTTTGAAGTGAGTCTTTCGTACTTAAATAATTAAGAAGAAATGCCAATTTTTCGGTGCATTAATTGTTTTTGACAAGAGGGATAGTTGTATTTTAAAATCGTAATATGTGAAAGGATTTATCCGTGTTTGTGCGTTTCTTCTAAATCTTTGATTTTTGTAGAGTGATTTAAGATAAATTTGATAAAAGTTTATAAGTAGAAAATACAATTCACTGATAATGAAACTTGCCCTTTATATGAGAGTTGCTTCCAAATTTTAGGACAACTTGTCCTAGTTCAAATAGAAGATATCGAATGCACATTCGAATAAAGTTTAAAAGAAATGAATTAAACAATGTTTTTCTCGAACGTGAAATCAAACTAAAAATGGATAAATAAACCCCAAAGCTATGCATAAAGATTAATAACCAAACTTTTGCTATGTTCAAGGGCTTCACTTGTTAGGAATAAGTTTTGGAAAAATGTAGCGTGTAAAACAATTTAATTTTTGTTAAACCCTTTTGCTCATTACTCTTTGATCATACAAGTTATTGTTGCTCTTCTTCTTGTGGTAGGATATGATTCGTGTCAATTTATGTCTTGAATGGGGAATAAAGTGGAAAGCAAGCTAGTCGCCCTAGCTACTATGATTCCATTTATTTTTTCTGGAATTATTGTATTTCAATTGCTTTCTTTTGCAGCTCGCTAAAATATTTTTACTAAAAAATTTATTTTAGCTTAAAAAAAGAAAAAAAAAAGATAAATTTTAATTAAATGTAACTAAAAATGAACCAAAACTGGCTAGTAGGTTTACATCTAGTATTGGTTAAATTTATATATCGATTTATAAAGAAGAATATTCGTGGATTTCATGAAATGTGTGAATAATAATAAACAATAATTATAAACGTGTGATTGAAATTAATATTTAATTTTAACTTAATTTGTAAACCAAAATATAAATTGTATCCAAAAAGAGGCAAAAAAAAAATCTTTTTGTTATAGAAAAACTTTGACTAGTAATTAACACGCACAATTGGGGTTTCTAATCCTGGGATGGCACTGCTGTAATTTTCTTTAATCTCAAGTGGCTTAATTGTCTAACTTATTGCTACTGTCCATTGGAGGATGGAAAGCTACTTAAAGGCGATTTGGTGGATCTTTTGAGTGATTTGAACGTTCATTTTCTCAAATAAAAAGTCAAATACTCTAAATTATTTGGTAAAAATACGTGGCTGTTAATCGTCATTATTAAACCAATTTTTAAATATTCAAAATTCCATAATTAGGGTAACTAAACAACATGCTGCCTAACTAATTTCACTATCAGTAGTAACAACAATTGAATCACGAGTGTCGGCACTACTGTGAAATTAAATTACGAATAGTGTTACATAGTACAAGTAGTAGTCCCAAATGAGACTAGACTTGTGACGGGCCAAATATTTGTGAAGAGTTTAAACCCGTTTGGTATACGTCATTTCAAGATACATTTTTTCAAAATTTAATTTTCAACAACGTTTTTCAATAAAATAATATTTTTTATCACATCAATAATTTTTCCTTATTTTTTAATCACATATTTCACATCATATCATATCACTATTTAAAATATATTTTTTTCTCAATAATATCTATCAAACACACCATAAGTAAAATGTTATGTATTGGACGAGATTATGAGTATGACAAAACAAATATTTAAAAAAAAAATTCTTTATTAATCATATTCGATTAAGCATTTGAGTTTTGAGGTCTCGTGTTAGAAGATTAAAGTCTAATTCCTAGTATGTTGATTATAATTTTCACACCGAAATGATATAATAATTTACATTCAAGATGCACTAGCAAGATAGTAACTCTTAGGGCCGGCTAGGAAGTTTCAGGTAGCGATTATGAACGTTTTTTAAAGTATCAATTTTGACCGTTTATCTCGTAAACCCAAAAGTCACTCAAAATAGCGGTTTTAAAAAACAGTCAAACCCATGATTGTGAATTTATTATCCATCGATTCTCAAAATTTTTTAAAAGAATAAAATTATACATATGTCCCTTGCAGTGATATTTTCAATCTATAGATTCTTGTATGAATTTTTATTATTCACAAGTGATATTTTATTTATACGTATTTTTTATATATAAATTAAGATTTACTCTAAAAAGTTCAATAAAGTTAAATATTTAATTAAAAAGTTCAACAAAGGTTACAATTACAAGCTAATTATGTACTGTTAAATAATTTTACATATAAGTAGTATTTTTACTTTATAAACAATTTTTTAAACAAAATTAATTTTCAATTTATAAGTAATATTTTACTCATAAGTAATTTTTTAAATTATAATATATATATTTTGCGAATAAATAAGTTTTTAGTTAATAAATATTTATGAGTTAGTTTTGAACAAAATATATTGATTGGAAATAATTATTTTATAAATTGTAAAATTAGAAGTGAATATAGGAAACAACCAAAAATCTCCAATTTGGTAGGTTGAGAGAACCGTTCAAAATTACATTACATCATTTTTTGGTGATTTTTCAATCATCCAAAATCTGGCTCAAAAAACTAGAAAGCACAAGTTCTTCCAACCCCTCATTAACGGTACCACTCAAAATCGGTGGATAAAAAAAAAAAAAAACTCCCAGGCAAGCCCTTATGGTATAATACTATTTTTGAAGTTTTATTTTTTTGAACTTTGATTACAAATCGAGCCGTGTAACTCCGTTTTAAAAGAATCGTCTTATTAAAAAAAAGTAGTAGTCAGACTCGTTAATTATCATTTCATGTTTAAGGGATGTAGTATATTAATTTTTTTCCCCAACAAAAGATAGTTATTCATTTAAAAGTACAAATCTTGAAATCTAATTATTTATTTGAGATTTAGACGAATTGAATTATTCGTTTCAATTTTTTGGACTTCGATATCAAATTGAATCACGGAGTTCTATCTATTAAAAAATCAGTCTTATTACAAGGAGTAATTTAATCTTTTATACGTTGATTATTATTTTCGTATATATAATATGATAATTTACTTTTAATATTCAATACAAGATGACGATGAAGTAAATATTTTCTATAAGTTTCATTACATGCTTAATGAAAGATAAATTGAAAAGTACATTTCCTGTCCTCTCCTTTTAATCAAATTAAGTTATATTTAATTTGACATATTTATTATAAAGAAAAATGTATAAAAGTCTACGGTTGAAATCTGCACAATTTGAAAAATAAACAGGATGCACATGGAAACGGTAATTGAAAATTAAAGAAGCCCAGAAAAATGGCTACTTCTAATACAAGTTCCAATTTTGAAAAATAATTATATAACATGCTCCCGCAAGATGGTGGTTCGTTTGAGCATGCCAATCTTGAAATTCGTGTGTTCAATTCTTTTGAGTTTTAATCGGATTGAATTGTTCGTTGGAGGTTAATGGACTCTGATACCATATTAAGATTTAAGATTCCATCTTAAAATTTTCGTATTGAGGAAAACTCCATCACGAAAGCTGCCTCTATAGTAAGAAAAGTAAAAGATTCATTCAGATAGCATCACAATGAATTTATCCAACGAAAAGTCTAGGTAGGAAG